ATTTTTTTTTTTTGTTATTCTCATCATCTTACTCTTTCTTATATTCACTTTTAATTTTCTTCTTTTACATACCCAACCAAACTTATCCACCAACTTCTGCAACTTCTCTTCAGAATCTCCCAAAAGCACAGTGTCATCAGCAAAGAGCAACTGTGACAACTCGCAATTTGCATTAGATTCTTTATCTTTTAAACCCACTGGCAGTCTTCAAGCTGGCACTGGACAAGCACCTAAAGTCGGTTCCTGACCAGCCGGGCTGTGGCTCGTACGTTGGTTTGCATGCAGCCAGCAGCAACAGCCTGGTTGATCAGGCTCTGATCCACCAGGAGGCCTGGTCACAGACCGGGCCGCGGGGGCGTTGACCCCCGGAACTCTCTCCAGGTAAACTCCAGGTAAACACCTCTTGTTAACACCTGAACATTCACTTCTCTTACAACCCCATTTATAAATATATTGAATAACCATGGTGACATCACACATCCATGTCTAAGGTATACTTTTACTGGGAAATACTCTTCCTCTCTCCTACATACTCTGACCTGAACCTCACTACTCTTGTAAAAACTCTTCACTGCTTTCAATAACCTACCTTCTATTCCATACATCTGCAACATTTGTCACATTGCCCCCCTATCCACCCTGTCATACGCCTTTTCCAAATCCAAAAATGCCACAAAAACTTCTTTACCCTTATCTAAATACTGTTCACCTATATGTTTCACTGTAAACACTTGGTCTGCACACCCCCTACCCTTCCAAAAGCCTCCTTGTTCATCTTTTATCCTACTCTCCGTCTTACTCTTAATTCTTTCAGTAATAACTCTGCCATACACTTTACCAGGTATGCTCAACAGACTTATTACCCTATAATTTTTCCACTCTCTTTTGTCCCCTTTGCCTTTATACAAAAGAACTCTGGATACTCTCTGCCAATCCCTAAGTACCTTACCCTCTTCCATACGTTTATTAAATGAAAGCACCAACCACTCCAAAACTATATCCCCACCTGCTTTTAACATTTCTATGTTTATCCCATTAATCCCAGCTGCCTTACTCCTTTTCATTCTACCCACTGCCTCACGAACTTTCCCCACACTTACAACTGGCTCTTCCTCACTCCTACAAAATGTTATTCCTCCTTGCCCTATACATGAAATCACAGCTTCCCTATCTTCATCAACATTTAACAATTCCTCAAAATATTTCCTCCATCTTCCCGATACCTCTAACTCTCTATTTAATAGCACTCCTCTCCTACTTTTAACTATCAAACCCATTCGTTCTCTAGGCTTCCTCAACATATTAATCTCACTCTAAAACTTTTTCTTATTTTCAACAAAATTTGTTGATAACATCTCACCCACTCTCTCATTTGCTCTCTTTTACATTGCTTCACCACTCTCTCTACTTCTCTTTTTCTTTATATATACTCCTCCCTCCTTGCATCACTTTAGCTTGTAAAAATCTCTAATACGCTAACTTTTTCTCTCTTACTACTCTACATCATCATTCCACTAATTGCTCTTCTTCCCTCTTGCACCCACTTTCCTGTAACCACAAACCTCTGCTAAACACTCTTACACTACATTTTTATACCTACCCTACACATCTTCAACCTCATTGCCTATACTCTCACTAGCCCATCAGTCCTTCATAGTTGTTTTTATCTTATCGTAACTACTTCCTCATTTAGTTTATTAACCGTCACCTCTTTCTTACTTGTTGCTTCCATTTTCCTTGTATTCCATCTACCTTTTACTCTCACTGTAGCTACAACTAAAAAGTGATCTGATATATCTGTGGCCCCTCTATTAACGTGTACATCTTACATCTTGAAGACTACCCAACAGTCTTTTATCTACCAATACATAGTCCAACAATCTACTGTCATTACTCCCTAAATCATATCTTCTATACTTTTTTATCCTCTTTTTTCTTAAATTATGTATTACCTATAACCAAACTCCTTTCTATACAAAGTTCAATCAAAGGGCCCCCATTGTAATTTACATCTGGCATCCTAAACTTACCTACCGCACCCTTTTTAAGCGTTTCTCTTGTTTTAGCATTTAGGCTCCCTCCCACAAATACTCTCTCACTTGGTTCAAAAGTTTGTAAACACTCACTTAGCATCTCCCAAAATCTCTCTCTCTCCTTTACATTCCTCTCTTCTCAAGGTGCATACACACTTATTATGACTCACTTTTTGCATCCGACCCTTATTTTAATCCTCATAATCCTTGAATTTATACATTTATATTCCCTCTTCTTCCATAACTGATCCTTCACCATCATTGTTATCCCTTCCTTAGGTCTAACTTTCTCAGATATTCCTGACTTAATCCAACTTATTTCTCCCCACTGAGACTCACATATTCCCTTCAGCTTTGTTTCACTTCTTTTCATTCATAATATTAGCATTCATCTCTTTCTTATCATCTGCACTACATCCAAGCACATTCAAGCATCCCAGTTTTATAAAGTTTATCTTCTTCTCTTTTTTAGTATTTTCTACAGAAGAAGGGGGTATTAGCCCATTGCTCCCAGCGTTTTAGTCGCCTCATACAATACGCATGGCTTATGGAGGAAAGATTCTTTTCCACTTCCCTATGGAGAATAGAGGAAATAAAGAAGAACAAGAACTATTAAGAAAAATGAAAAAAAAACCTAGATATGTACTCACCTAGTTGTGGATGCAGGGGTCGATTCACAGCTCCTGGCCCCGCCTTTTCACTGGTCACTATTAGGCCACTCTTCCTACTCCATGAGCTTTATCATACCTCTTCTTAAAGCTATGTATGGATCCTGCCTCCACTACATCACTTACCAGACTATTCCACTTCCTGGCAACTCTGTGACTGAAGAAATACTTCCTAACATCCCTGTGATTCATCTGAGTCTTCAACTTCCAACTGTGACCTCTTGTTGCTGTGTCCCATCTCTGGAACATCCAATCTCTGTCCACCTTGTCAATTCTTCTCAGTATTTTATATGTCATTATCATATCCCCCCTATCTTTCCTGTCCTCCAGTGTTGTCAGGTCGATTTCCCTTAACCTCCCCTCGTAGGACATGCCCCTTAGCTCTGGGACTAGTCTTGCTGCAAACCTGTGTACTTTCTCTAATTTCCTTACATGCTTGGCTAGGTGTGGGTTAAAAACTAGTGCTGCATACTCCAATAAATGCCTGACATTCATGGTGTATAGGGTCCTGAACGATTCCTTATTGAGATGTCGGAATGCTGTTCTTAGGTTTGCTAGGTGTCCAAATGCTGCAGCAGTTAGTTGGTTGATGTGTGCCTCAGGAGATGTGCTTGGTGTTATACTCACCCCAAGTTCCTTTTCCTTGAGTGAGGTTTGTAGTCTCTGGCTCCCTAGACTGTACTCCGTCTGTAGTCTTCTTTGCCGTTCGACAATCTTCATGACTTTGCACTTGGGGTTGAACTCCAGGAGTCAGTTTGCGGACCAGGGCTGCAGCCTTTCCAGATCCCTTTGTAGTTCCGCCTGGTCCTCGTCTGATTGAATTCTTATCATCAACTTCACATTATCTGCAAACAGGGACAGTTCTGAGTCTGTTCCTTCCATCATGTCGTTCACATACACCAGAAACAGCACCGGTCCTAGCACTGACCCCTATGAAATCCCGCTCGTCACAGGCGCTCACTGTGACATCTCGTCACGTACTATGACTTGCTGTCTTCCTGACAGGTATTCCCTGATCCATTGCAGTGCCTTCCCTGTTATACCTGCCTGGTCTTCCAGCTTATGTGCAAATCTCACGTATGGAACTGTGTCAAAAGCCTTCTTACAGTCAAGAAAATGCAATCTACCCACCCCTCTCTTGTCTTACTGCTGTCACCCTGGCATAGAACACCAGTAGGTTTGTGACACAGGATTTCCCGTCCCTGAAACTGTGCTGGTTGTCATTGATTAGTTCCTCGGAGCAACGCAAACACATAGCTGTGTGCTTGGTTCTTGTAGGATCGTTGGCCTAGTGGTAAGGTGATGCGTACATTGTGTTGTCTCTGGAGGCGGCACAAGGTTCGTAGGATCGAGTCCTGGCCTGCCGCAGTTTGGTAAATGATTATATATATATATATATATATATAAATTTTAATATATATATATATTTTAATATATATATTTTATATATATATTTAAAAAGTATTTTTAATTGTATTAAAACTTTAGGAGCAGACTAACCTTCATATGATTATTAATTATATTTTTAAGTCATTCGTGCATTCTTCGGATGAAGCGTAAACTGGAGTATTAGTGTTTACTACAATAACTTAAAAGAGTTATAAATCTTGACATTCTCCGAAAATCATTCTCCTGTTCTCTCTGTGTCAAAATTTTCCTGTAGTTATTTGGTTATTTCTGGGTGCAAATCGTAAACAGAGCTAAGTTACATTAACGTTCCTGACAAATATACAACTTCGTATCTATTTCTTCTTGACCTTGATTTTTGTTATTTATTATAACTCATAAAAAACACTAAATCCTTATGGGCCATTCAGGGCTCTTGTGCAAATAGGTTAGGTAAGATTTGTCAGGAAACAGTACAAGCATTTCATGAAGCTGGTCTTAGTCATATGATGACCAGCCACTGCAACTTTTAGTCATCTGACCGAGGCCTTCAGTTTACTTACCAATTCTCCCTTTTAAAATTTAAGTTTATAATTAATATAATGTTCCTGCGAAGTCTTTGAAAATAAAGGTCAACCTAATATAATTCTTAACTTCTGAATGTTTTTCACTGTAGATTTCATTCTGCATTTTACTGAATATCAACTGATCATCTGCTTCCCATTATTGTAAAACATAGTTACATAAGACATAAAAACGCCTTTTAACATTTGTAATATATTTTTCAGGTCAGTAAGATATATGACAGATAAATAAGTAATAAGTTATTAAAATTAGATAAATAGTAATCTAAGTAGTAACTGAAGAAATAAATATCACAGATCAAGAGACTAGTATCTTGATAAGTCTTCTGTATACATTCCTCACAGGTTCCTGAATCTCTACACAACTCACGAGACGAGTTAGAGCTCACGGAAATATGTCTTTATATAAAAAGCAAGTTAGCATAAACACTTCATGAATGGTAACTTAGTAGTCGAAGTTTACTGGTGTAATATTTTGCCCAAGTGTCATGGTCAGTGTATTAAACATTAATGTTAATGTCATCATGAAAAGTTGCCGCTTCATAATGAGATGATCTATGTATGCTAGCACAACAATTTCCTTGGAAATAAATGTCATGGTGATACAGACCAGGTGTGGAAAGACACTTGCGTAGTTTACATCATTGTATAAAAGAAATGTAACGCCCAAAAGGGCTTCAGAACAGGCACAGCGAAACGTCTCCCTAATAAATACCCTGAGGTACAGATAAGCGTTTTTCCCACCCACTCAATTCTCTTGTTTTTTCCAACTTAGCTGAACGTTTGACTCACAACCATAAAGTTCCGACTCAATTCTCCTTTACATTGCAGCAAATATATATCTGGGTGATAGTCGACTGTTGTGGGTCGCATGCTGGGTAGATAGGGAAGGTACCTAGCTCTTAACAGCTCTTTACCTGTTAACCTGTAAAAATCAATGCACTCTTAAAAAAAATACAATTTTTCATACGTTAGATTTAACCTCGACTGTATCGTCACTGTCTGGATAATTATTCACTATCTTTTCTGACTCCTGACTAATTTTTGGGAAAAGAACATGGTTAGCGATATTGTTAATGTTGACGAAGAAGTTTCCTGTATTTACTCTTGTGATTTGTTTGTGTGTTGCGGCCGAGGAAGCTGCTGAATCTCCTAGTGGCCTAACAACAGTTTTTAATGAGTCCTTGAAAGTATTTATCAGTCCGTTAGAACTGGTGTCGGCTTTGTTTTCCGAAATGTTTTTCAAAACGGACTGGTGCTTGTGTGACAGGTGATTCTGCAGCTCAATCCCTAGGTGGATGTTGTGATGCTTGGGGACGTCCGGGGAAGTGGGTGTAGACAGGGCCAGTGCCAGCACGTCAGTGGCCAGCCAGCAGGAGTTGGTTCTCATCACCAGCGCCTTGTTTGCGACAGGACCAGCGACGATGCTAGGCTTAGCGTTCTCCACGTCATATTGACCTGACTTATCCGCGAACATGATGATACTGTTGGAAAATATTATACATGATTAATTCATGAAAATAATTCACCAGTAAAGATACTTCACACTTAATCACAATTTGTATCTGAACTATGAAAGCGAAAACGGAAACGTACCAGAAAAAGACGATCATGAGAACGCTGGCAGAAGCACCCAGTAAGAAGTGTGCTACAGGGAAGGTGCTGACGGAGGCGTGATAGACGGCGGTGTAGAGGGCAGAAGTTACCATGGGCATCATGCCGTCAAGAGCACCTAACACCGCAGATACTTTACCTACAAATTGAAAAATGTGGGATATATAATTTTACGTTTCAAATGTTGACATCTAGTACTAATAATATAAAAAAAATAATTTTAATATCGCTTTGCAAAACACTAATTATATCAATTATATAATGAATAGATAATATAAAAATGGAGTAAAAAGTTTATATTGTATAAAATAAATTATCAAAAACCAACTCACCTATTTCATCTTTGGAGACAAACTTGGTCATCATGGCTCGCTGAGCGATGGTGCAGGAGTTAAGCAGCAGAGCCGCAACTGGAGCTGAGGGATCAAATACGATTGTGGTCACCTTATTTTCCACCACCAGTATTTCATTTTTACAAATGTCACTTATTTATAAAAGCATTACACTTGACAATCCCTGGTAGGAAGCTCACCTATCCAGATAAAATATGGTCGAGAGTCAGAAATGCAGCCGTAGATGACATACTCGATGACGCCGGACATGGCGCCCACCACGGCCAGCAGGTTGTCTGACACACCTAGACGACCACTTAACAACGGCACCGCCACTAGCGATCCTGAAAGTGAATAAAACTCGGCTTAGTACAGGAATAATGTTATGAAGTTTTAGGATGGCATATGATAGTTAAAAATATAATTGTCGCCTTAGTGGCTATTTCATTAGTGAGTTACATTATCATCCCGAAAGCGGTGACGCGAAAAAAGAAATTAGACCCTGCTGGGTGACGATATATCTTTGGATATTTTAGATTTTTAATATATCAGTACAATGATTTCTTTGAGCAACTGCATAGATTGTAATCTCTTTAAGAATGTAAATTTATCTTATTGAAGAAACTCGTTCTCATTCTTAACATTATTATTGTTTACCTATTCAAAAAAGTCTGTTTAATAAGCAAATTGCAAATACACAACATATAAAAGCCATTCCTTAATTTGCTACGGGTTCAAGCGTTTAGAGCACTATCTCAGAGGTTAAGAACCACTGAAATATAGTGTTCTAGTGACTTTGTCCACACACCTTACATATAGTTTCATTTGATTAATATCTCAATAGAAGACGAAATACGAGAAGTACTGATAGCCTAGTTTTCATCTATAAGTAACTTCTTGTATTCTAGTAATTGTTATTTTTTTATACATTTTTTTTAACCCATTTCATTGATAGACACAATGGATCTGCTAGTTCTTATCTGCACTTTTCTATTTTTTTACATATTCATTTGCAATTTTTTTTTCTAAGAGCTTGTAACCTATTGAAGGTACTAAAACTAATCATTCGCTTTATTTAATGTTAGTTTAACGAAGGTAATATTATCTCTATCAAGGAGCATAAATATTGGACTCAAAATCTTATCTAAAAATGCAGTGTTCATCACTACTTGTAAACCGTGTACGTGTAAAAATGTATCTTACCAGTGGTGGCCAAGAGGTTCTTGTAGGTGACCCAGAGGCTGTAGTCAGTAGCTTGCCAACCTAGTACGTGACGAGTGAAGGCGAACACATAGGGAGCTGAAGGACAAGATACATGGTCAGCAAATTGACAAATATGGTGATTGATATACTAAAAAAAACATTTACTATAAATAATTAATGTATTTTTTATAATGTTCACATTAGGATTTCTCTTTTCTTGGTAAAAATTCTTATATGAATATCAACACTTACATCGAGTAACTCTTCTGAGGAGACTGGTGAAGATGAGAATGAAAATAAGAGCTCTTGTGTTTCCCTCGCGTTTCTTCAGAGTTGACTTGAAGCTGTCAAGGATACGGTGCGGGTTAAAGAAGTCCTTGAACATGATGGAGAGAGTTGGACGGTTGTGTTGGAGAGTGTTGGAGGGTGTAGCATTTACCTCTAGTCCGTACACTGCCGCTACACTCTCTCGCAGCTCCAGTCGTGGCTTGTGATCTGGGGTTTCGGCACGGGAACTTTTGACGAAAGGTCCATGGCTCTCAGGAAGGCACACCACCACGTACACCAGGGCCATTAAGGAGAGCGTGAGGGAAGTAGCGAAGAGTGGCAGGTAGCCGCCCCAGCTGTAGATGTAGGTACCCATCAGTGTGCCCACTGGACCTCCTAAGAACCAAATGCTGTTGGCCAATCCCACTCTTGATGTACGCGACTCTTCTGACGACACGTCACCAATGTACGAGTTGGCTGCCGTCAAGAATGATACAGTACCGCCACCTAGTGTATCCAGTAACGTGACGATAAGTAACACTTCAGCAGGCCAAGAAGGTGCCAAAGTAGCTAACAAGTAGCCGGCAGCGTGGAGTGCGTGACCCACTTGTACTGCTATCAGAGGCACCTTCCTGCCATATTTATCACTCCAGGCGCCCATGAAGAGAATAAAGAAGAGTGGTAGTGCAGCTGCAATGATACTGTTATAGAGAGCAAACACACTGTACCTTTGCTGTACCTCTACACTGGCTGCTGGTTCTGAATTCAGATTGTCGCACACTTGTTGGGAAAAACCGCTACTCACTTGACACACTCGATCCATCTGTAGGTTCTCTATGTATACGTGCATGTTAGAGAAAGCAAGACCGTCAAGCAGCATAAGAGGTTCCACAGTCACGCTCTTCATCACGCCCATCACTCGTGACCAAGTATTTCTAACTCTTTTGTTGTTTCCTTCCATTATGACCTAATAACTAGTAAATTATGTATTTGATTCCGCGTCTTGTGAAGATTGACAGTCTCAACTCTCCAATTACATAGAATATAATTTAATTTCCAGTTCATGAACTGCTGCTCCAACAAGGAGATTGTTGATTATGAGGAGAACTCGGGGTACGCACGGTTAATATAGGAAGCCTCATCCTCCAATGTCAAGGCGGGTGTGACGTCAGCACACTGGGGACCTGGCCCGGGTGTAGCACTGCATGCGTAGGTCCACATGCTGCTTTGCCTGAGGATTTTCCCCTTTTTGTCTGTAGGAGACGGTGGGTTTACATCACTTTCTTTAATTAAGATGTTTTTAAAACAGGGGAAACCATTGGGCACTCAAGGAGTTAATCTTAAGTGAAAAAATTGGTCAAATATCGCCGGGGTGAATTACTGGAAATTAAAACTATGCATAATTACCTTTTATTGAAAAACGTTTCGCCCCACGGGGGGTTTTTAAGTCACAAAAAGATCTCCCTGGGGGGAAGGTACGCGAGTATTTAAAGTCAGGTTCAGAATGCTGGGGGTCAGGGGGAGAATTTTGCATCTAGATTTTCCCGGGGGGGGTTATAGAGTCTAAAAGCTTGGTAGTTTGGGAAAAGGGTTGGATAATTTTTGCTCCCAAACTTATTTTATACCTTTTTTCCATGAACTCTGACCTCTAGAAGCGTACGCACATTAGCCTTCCACTAGCCCCTTTATTAAAACAAAAATTAACATACAAAAAAAAGTATGGATTTTAAAGGTTAAAAGTTTTATAGGAATACCACACGCACATTCGTCTTTGTCAGAAGAACCGATGAATGTTTAAATTGTTTGCCCTTCATGGAAGGTGCCCGGATGATCCAATGAATTGAACCCGACCTCCCCTTTCTTGGATCAATCTGAAAGCCTCCGTACCCTCAAACATCTGTGACCTTACTGATTCAGCGCCCCTAAATTTTAAAAATTATATTAAAAAAAAAATAATAATAATAAAATAATAAATAATAAATAATAATAATAAGAAAAAGAAGAAGAAAAAAGAAGAAAAGAAGAGAAAAAAAAGGAGGGGAGGAAGAAAATGTTAATTTTAAAAAGGATGAAATAAACAAAACCAGATAATAGAAAGTCAAGAACATAGAAGACACTGAAAAGGTGACCGAGAATTTAGGAGTGCACCTGAGTCAGCAGGAGTCGTGTTGAAGGTTTGAAAGAGGCACCTTATGCATACCATTAATCTTAATAACGGGAGTTTCAACACAAGGACAACCAGTGTTGTAGTGGTTGCATTTTCTGACACTCATTAGTTGTACTGTCCACACTAATACCTTTTACTCATCACTTTAGTACTTACATGTAGGATATGACATTTCAGCAGCACTTGAGTTATCTAACACATATTTCTGGATGCTGCCCACGACAGTCTGTTAACATACAAGTATCTATTTTTACCTTTAGGTGGACAAGGGTGAAAGGAAACTCGCTTCTATGTTTCTCCGAGCTACGGAATCGAACACTGGACTTGGTGGGTGTGAGCTGAATGTTCTCACCGGTGAGCTACGTAAGACCTCACTGTGATTGTGAGAGAGGTCGGGAGGGGTGAGACAACGAGGCTAAGGAATGTGAGGAAGGGGAAGAGAGATGTGCGAGCGTGGGAGGAGGACATGTTGTTAATGAAATCGTAGTTAATGATGAGGACGTAGGTAGTGACGAGAGAGAGGTTGCTGGCTTACAATTACTGATAGTAAGGTCTGAGATAGATGCATTCGCGGAGCTTATTGAGATATCCGAGTATCCCACAACCCCAGCGCTCGCTACCGCAACTCACGCAAGGGGCATGGCAGTTACACTGTAAATCCTCATGAGACAGAAGAGTTACAACTGAACTCGAAGAGATGTTCTTAAGAGGTCCAGAAGCTGCAGATCAAAACACTGAAGGCCCCTCAAGGCAGGTCCTTCATGCCAGTCAGACACTCCTGATCTAAGAAACTGGACCAATCTTTTCCCTTTCCCCGTGATCAAACCTGTTTGGTTCCCATACAGTGCCCCGTGGCCTGATCGCTGAAGCTCTTGCTTCACATGGCGAGGGTCTGCGTTTGACTCCCAGCGGGGGCAGAAACATTGGGCGTGTTTCTTTACACCGACTGTCTATGTTCACCCATCTGTAAAATGGGTACCTGGGTGTTAGTCGACTGGTGTGGATCGCATCCTCGGACAAGGACCTAATTTGCCCCAAATGCTCTGCATAACAAGGTGCTTTCTGTATGGTAGTATGTCACTGATGTCAGCTAGGCCTGTATACCTTGTACATGTACTTGTAGTAAATATATTATTATACCTCCAGGGGCTGTATAACCCCTGATGCTTTAGTGCACCATCCATAACTGTGATAGTACTACTTGTACTACTACTGCTACTACTAATACTACTATTAATGCTGCTACTACTATTACTACTACTACTACTATCACTACTGCTACAACTAATAATAACAATACCAACTTGATGTAAATAAGTACTAGTTCCTACTCATTTCTGTTGTAATCCTGGTTGTGAAGGCGGTAAGGGGTCAGTTGAAAGCCCGCGGTTCGCACCACCCGTCTATCATTCTATTATTGCATCAGGGATAACAGGCTCAGTACTGCTGGGCACCTGGTGTTTAAGGATGGAGGTCCAATGGATTGTGATGTGTACTGTGTTCATTTCACCCAGGACTGAGCATGGGAACGCAGGATCGAATCCTGGCCAAGCCGCAGTTCTGATAATGATTTCAAATCACTTGTTTCGTGATTTCACTGACACGCACGCACACACACACACACACACACACACACACACACACACACACACACACACACACACACACACATATATATATATAAACACTGATCTCTGGCTGAAGGAGACTCGAACCTACGAACCTTAGGACAAGGTACGCAGTGCTTTACCAATCTACCCACACTGGACCAATACCTTGGCGTGTAGCAGAGCTACACGTTTGATCCAAGGCAGCCAGCTTTCAGGGAGAAGGCTTACAGCTTTTCATCTCATCCCCTGCATGCATCAGCCTTACTAGAGATTTGAACAATGCAAGGAATTCGCGAGAGCATGCGAAATATACACAAACACTGATCTCTGGCTGAAGGAGACTCGAACCTACGAACCTTAGGACAAGGTACGCAGTGCTTTACCAATCTACCCAACACTGGACCAATACCTTGGCGTGTAGCAGAGCTACACGTTTGATCCAAGGCAGCCAGCTTTCAGGGAGAAGGCTTACAGCTTTTCATCTCATCCCCTGCATGCATCAGCCTTACTAGAGATTTGAACAATGCAAGGAATTCGCGAGAGCATGCGAAATATACACAAACACTGATCTCTGGCTGAAGGAGACTCGAACCTACGAACCTTAGGACAAGGTAAGCAGTGCTTTACCAATCTACCCACACTGGACCAATACCTTGGCGTGTAGCAGAGCTACACGTTTGATCCAAGGCAGCCAGCTTTCAGGGAGAAGGCTTACAGCTTTTCATCTCATCCCCTGCATGCATCAGCCTTACTAGAGATTTGAACAATGCAAGGAATTCGCGAGAGCATGCGAAATATACACAAACACTGATCTCTGGCTGAAGGAGACTCGAACCTACGAACCTTAGGACAAGGTACGCAGTGCTTTACCAATCTACCCACACTGGACCAATACCTTGGCGTGTAGCAGAGCTACACGTTTGATCCAAGGCAGCCAGCTTTCAGGGAGAAGGCTTACAGCTTTTCATCTCATCCCCTGCATGCATCAGCCTTACTAGAGATTTGAACAATGCAAGGAATTCGCGAGAGCATGCGAAATATACACAAACACTGATCTCTGGCTGAAGGAGACTCGAACCTACGAACCTTAGGACAAGGTACGCAGTGCTTTACCAATCTACCCACACTGGACCAATACCTTGGCGTGTAGCAGAGCTACACGTTTGATCCAAGGCAGCCAGCTTTCAGGGAGAAGGCTTACAGCTTTTCATCTCATCCCCTGCATGCATCAGCCTTACTAGAGATTTGAACAATGCAAGGAATTCGCGAGAGCATGCGAAATATACACAAACACTGATCTCACGCATGCTCTCGCGAATTCCTTGCATTGTTCAAATCTCTAGTAAGGCTGATGCATGCAGGGGATGAGATGAAAAGCTGTAAGCCTTCTCCCTGAAAGCTGGCTGCCTTGGATCAAACGTGTAGCTCTGCTACACGCCAAGGTATTGGTCCAGTGTGGGTAGATTGGTAAAGCACTGCGTACCTTGTCCTAAGGTTCGTAGGTTCGAGCCTCCTTCAGCCAGAGATCAGTGTTTGTGTATATTTCGCATGCTCTCGCGAATTCCTTGCATTGTTCAAATCTCTAGTAAGGCTGATGCATGCAGGGGATGAGATGAAAAGCTGTAAGCCTTCTCCCTGAAAGCTGGCTGCCTTGGATCAAACGTGTAGCTCTGCTACACGCCAAGGTATTGGTCCAGTGTGGGTAGATTGGTAAAGCACTGCGTACCTTGTCCTAAGGTTCGTAGGTTCGAGTCTCCTTCAGCCAGAGATCAGTGTTTGTGTATATTTCGCATGCTCTCGCGAATTCCTTGCATATATATATATATATATATATATTATATATATATATATATATATATATATATATAACGTGTTAAATATATATATATATATATATAATATATATATATATATATATATATATATATATATATATATATATAAACACTGATCTGTAACCCTTCTCCCTGAAAGCTGGCTGCCTTGGATCAAAGTCTAGCGCATGCTGGACTCCGAGGTATTGGTCCAGTGTGGGTAGATTGGTAAAGCACTGCGTACCTTGTTCCAAGGTTCGTAGGTTCGAGTCTCCTTCAGCCAGAGATCAGTGTTTGTGTATATTTCGCCTGCTCTTGCGAATTCCTTGCATTGTTAATATCTCTAGTAAGGCTGATGCATGCAAATGATGAGATGAAAAGCTGTAAGCCTTCTCCCTGAAAGCTGGCTGCCTTGGATCAAAGTCTAGTGCAAGCTGGACTCCAAGGTATTGGTCCAGTGTGGGTAGATTGGTAAAGCACTGCGTACCTTGTTCCAAGGTTCGTAGGTTCGAGTCTCCTTCAGCCAGAGATCAGTGTTTGTGTATATTTCGCCTGCTCTTGCGAATTCCTTGCATTGTTAATATCTCTAGTAAGGCTGATGCATGCAGGGGATGAGATGAAAAGCTGTAAGCCTTCTCCCT